TTGTTACATGTTTCATTTTCAGTTTTCACAAAGTGTACCCCCATATAGAAATCAAAGACGTAGTCCTACGTCAACATGTGTTACGCGCTCTCACACACACCTACACAGACAGACATTTTCCGAACGCGTCATGTTGAGTCGATTAGATAACTATGAGAAAAAATATCAATGTTTTTACAAAAACAAAGCTTAAAACCCGAATTTATCCACCTATGGTGTGATCAGACCCTTCTTACTTATTCAAGTTTATTTATTTTATTGTCATTATCAGTGACCAAGCCCCCCACCCCCGTGTCATCCAGTGACGCTACGCCACTGCCTGGGGGTACCCGGAATATATCCGGGTGTAGTCTATTTGGTGAGGCTACCAATCACCTTATCATCGTATTTTAATGTGATTTAATGGGTTTTAATTCAATTCATATTCAAGCAACTTCCCCGGGGTACCCGGAACATGTCCAAGTGTGTCCAATGTGGTCTGGAACACTTAACACGACTTGCATTGATCTTATTTTTGAATTCTGTAGTAATTTGATGTGTCGCATAAGAGATGAACAAGCCTATGGCTAAAAATCTCTATAATAAAGAAAAAAAAATGATGTGTCGCATGATGGTTTTGATACGTTTTCCGTTAAATCCAGCGTGAAGGCCCATATTCACCGGATCTTATTCCGGCCATATCTCCGGAACCGGTTCACCGATTCCAAAACCGTTCAATAGCGTTCAATGGGACCCCAAGACCTATCATTTGGCGCCGAGTTTGTCCAAATCGGTTGAGCGGTGGCTGAGAAACGTGAGCGCATTCATTTCGTTACATACACACACACATACACACATACACGCATACACACATACACGCATACACACATACACACACAGACATGTTCCGATCTCGTCGAGCTGAGTCGAATGGTATATGACACACGGCCCTCCGGGCCTCGGATCGATAGTCGGTTTTTCAAGTGATATCTATACCCTTCTTTGTAAGAAGGGTAAAAACAAAAATAAGCCTCGATTTATGAACAATATAAGGGTCATTCCAGCTCAAGTGGGTACAGAGTTTTAAAAAATTGTGGTCGATGTCACCGGTTTGAGCCAAACTTGGCCAAAACGCTTATTTTGGAATTTTGAACAAACGCTTTTTTTGATTTTGCTCTAAAGTGCCTAGATCCTTCTAGGCTGCCTACAACCCTGGATTTTCGAGATTTTGTAAAGTTCAACTTTCAGAAGATATTGCTCCGAAACGTCAATTTGAAGGTTTTTTTTTTTTAAATGTAGATTCACATAGATGTACCCACATTTTGTTTTTGTTGTAATAACTACTGTAAACAGGCAGGTATCCAAATTGTAAAAAAATGGCCTATTTTCACCATGGGCGGGATTTTTAATTTCTTAATATTTTGGGCTCAAATTTTCACCACACTTTGGAAAACTCTTCTACTGGATGTGTTTCCAAGGGCAAATGATTTGGACAAACAGTTTTTGAGATATGACCAGATAAGTCACTCATCTGGTCAGTTAATCAATGTTTTTTTTTAAATTCCTTCACCTTCAAATTGACGTTCTAAGATTACGAATAACTTACTTGATTGTAGATCAATCTCTTCTGAAAGATGATTTTTTTTTTTTAAATCTCGAAAATCCAGGGTTGTAGCCGAGAAGGATCTAGGCACTTCAGAGCAAAATCAAAAAAGGCATTTGTTCGGAATGTCAAAATAAGCGTTTTGGCCTAGCTTGGCTCAAATCAGTGACATCGACCAAAGGGGGTGTACATACATGAGCTGGAATGACCCATATATGAATTTCATAAGCGCAACTTATGAATTATTTTTCGTCTAACATGAGGTAACGGTTGTACACGGCGAATGAGAGCAGCCCAAATTTGAGTTTAGTTTGCCCATAAATTACAGAAAGTGCAGGAACTCAGCGATGAATAAATTTGCCTCATATTTTTCCAGGTTTTTCCAGGTTTGTCCAGGAAAAAAATTACCGAATATGAGAAAAGTAAAGATTGGATTCACTCAGTCTGTTGGTACTACTCCTAGACTGAGTGAAATTTTCTTCAATTTTCATCATTTTCCGGCAGGTTTTCCACATGAGGCAATATTATTCATAGCTGAGTTCCTGCACTTTTGGCGATTATGAGTGAACTAAACTCAAATTTGGGTCGTTCTCATTCGCCGTATACGCATTTAGCCATACCATTTTCCCAAGCGTTGACAAACGAGTGGTCCAGACACAGGACCCGCAGTCTCATCGTCCATGGTTCTGTACCAGTCTGCTCCGTTGACATTTTTTATGTCGACATTATTTTTTATAAGCAAATCAATTAAATTCTTACCGATTTCTTGTGGCTAAAATTCATAAGTGTTTCTTATGTCTCTTTGCTTTTTGCCTCAGTGCAGTGAATTACTTACTTTACTCAAAGGTCCTGTACACCACCGGCTCACTTTTGCCTTGACCTGGGCCCCAGGTCAGATTTCTATCGTCTTGCTTTATTTCCTTGTTGAGGCTCTGCCACCATGAGCCCCTGGGTCTGCCTCTGCTGCGATGTGATGCCGAAATCCAATACAACGCTTGCTTGCAGATTTCGTTTCCACCCCGTCGAAGTGTGTGGCCGACCCACCTCCACTTTCACTCACGAATTTCTGTTGCTATCGGCTTCTGATGACATCGACGATGGAGCTCGGCATTCAAGATCCAGTTGTTAGGCCACCAGGCGTATAACAACACAGATTTCACGGTCGAGTTGATAATTCGGATTTTGGTGCGTTGACTTATCTGGTTTGATCTCCATACGTTTCTTAAACTCGCAAAGGCAGCCCTAGCCTTCTTGATTCGTGCACTTATGTCGCTCTTGGTCCCACCGTCCGGCGCAATTTAGCTGCCAAGATATTGGAAACTTTCGACCTTCTCCACTATTTGCCCCGCTACCGTTAACTTGGAATGGTTTCCCTTGTTGACATCCAACGATTTGGTCTTGTTGACGTTGATGGTGACACCCGCCGCAGAGGAGTGTTCGGCTAGATCATTGAGCTTACTCTGCATATCAGAGCGCTGTTGTGCTAGTAGTGCAACATCATCAGCCAAATCGAAGTCGTTGAGATGCTCCAAGGTGATAGGCCGCCAAAGCAGCCCACGGTTCGGTACACGGTCAGTTGGATCCACCATGATCTCGTCGATTATGATGAGGAACAGTAGCGGTGATAGTATACATCCTTGTCTCACACCAGTGACTACCCGGACAGGGTCAGACAAAGCTCCGTTAAGCAGAACACTGTACGTCAAAGTCTGATACTGCGCTTCTATGAGATTGACGATGTTATTCGGGACTCCCTTGCATCTCAGGGCGCCCCACAGATTCTCGTGTTTGAGTCGGTCGAAAGCTTTTTGTAGTCAAAGGGATGCGGAGCGTGGTCCACACAAGATCTTCCGGCATGGAATCCTGTCTGCTACCGCAGGAGAGTAACGTCAATCTTCTCCTGTATCCGATTCAGGATAACTTTGCACAGAACTTTGAGAACAATACACAGTAACATGAATCAGTGAAGCAAATAACTTAACTTTACCCACACCAACTTTTCTTCCAATGGCAATCGTAGGGACGCAGAGGTAAACACGGTCTCTACAACAACGGTTGTAATACTTATCATGCTTCTCCTTCCCAAAAAGACCGTGTGGACGTGGCCGGTGCCGGCGCTGATCTAGAGAATAGCTTGAATTAGTGAACTTTGACATTGAAGATGGATAAGTTTATCCCAAGAGCCATCTATGGTGTTCTCTGTGCAATTCCACTTGTTATAATCAGAAACGGAGTAGCAGCTACGATACACATAAGATTTTATTTATTTATAATTTATCATTTTAAATACTAACCATCAATAAAAGAAGAGTTTTTTTTTTCAGTATATAGTAGTGCGGTTGAGCTCGGCGGTCGAAACAACGGCAGCTTCGTTCGAATTTAACTTTTTAACCGCAATAAGTTCAACCCAAAACGATCCGAATCTTCGAATTCACATACTCTGCCTTCCTATGAAATCTATCTTTCATGAGGTTCCTAGATCGGAAATTCCATAAGTAAACCATAAAAAAGATAAATCGCTTAGCAAAGCTTGCTGACTGCACATATCATTTGTTACTTCTCTTGGATTTAATTGATCCAAGTCATAAATGTATTTGTTATTCGATTTTTTCGAATACTATCTAATCTTAAAAGTTGAAAAAATTGTATCTTTCAGGAAAAAGTATATAATACTTAATATATGAAATGATTTTAGCTGGTTCTATTGTTCTGCCACGAAAATTTAATTTTGTGGTGAAGTCTGGAAATTTAAGTTGTTGCTGCCCCTTCTGACTATGCGAACGCCGTATGCCATTTCTATGTGAACCAAATTGTGAACATCCTAATATCTATCCTACCAACCTTCCCGCCGTGTTGCGCTACTGCCCAAAACGTCGATGCGATGCAAGCACAAAACACGAATTTCAATAGACATTATCTCTCACATCACGTTCCGTCACGACTGACCGAAAAGGACACGTGAATTCAATTCGATCAACCTTCCCGTCGTCGGGACGAGCCCTTTTTACGATACGCGTTTCCGTTATAGCTTCACCAGGATGTATGTAGTTTGAAACGACCAGAGAGAGTTTCAATCTATTGCATCGTAGTTATACACAAACATGTTTGATTGTGCTTTTCGTAGTAAAATGTTGATGCATTCCAGCTTCAAGTCATAAATTTACAACCAATTTAAACTCTCGGTCAACAGCATACTAATTTTAGACACCGAGTGCTCAATAAACACATGCACCGACTAAGTAGATAGATCCTTTTATGTGGAAAAAATACAATCAAAGTCCGTCAGATACGCGCAAATACCGAGTGGATCCGTTATCTGCAACGAAGTACCCTCTTCAAGGTTCGTATCATCGAAAGCGAAGTTCGATTTCATCTTATCATCTGCGATTGTTTTTCATTAAAACCACATCCGAACTCCTAGCCCAAGTTAGTAGTAGCTTGGCCACCATTCAAACGACAAGTATGCAACTTTCGCTTTCGTTGGGATTGCTGGCGGCCTTGGCCGGAGCCGTCATCGCCGGACCGCTGAACGGCGTTCCAGAGGCAAGCAACGACCCGTACCATCCGAGCTTCCCGGAAGAAAAGTCCTCCCTAAATCGCAATGCCCAGCAGGAGCAGAACATCGAGTACTGGAAGGACAATGCCAAGCACACCGTGGACACCATTGTCAACCGGAAGGAGAACAAGAATGTCGCCAAGAACGTCATCATGTTCCTGGGTGATGGGATGTCCATTGCTACGGTAGCGATGGCCCGCGTGTACGCAGGAGGAGAAGAACGCCAGCTGGCATTCGAAAAGTTCCCGTACATCGGTATGTCGAAGACGTACTGCGTTAACTATCAGGTGCCGGATTCGGCCTGCACGTCAACTGCCTATCTGACTGGGGTGAAAGGTAACTACGAAACGATAGGAGTCAACGCTCAGGTTCCCGTCTATAGCTGCACGGCGGAGTTGGACAATAGTACCCATACCCATTCGATTGCCAAATGGGCGATGGATGTCGGAAAGGACGCTGGATTAGTTACGACAACCCGAGTGACGCATGCTTCACCAGCTGGAGTCTACGCTCATACGGCCAATCGCGATTGGGAGAACGATTACTTTATAACTGGGGACGGGTGTGATCCGAATGTTCTGGATGATATTGCCAAGCAACTGGTGCACGGGGACACAGGTAAGCGGCTGAAGGTTATCATGGGTGGTGGTCGTAGCGAGTTCCTGGACCAGGAACCAGATCCAGAATATGGAGACCGAGGCTACCGTCGGGATGGTAAAAACCTGATCCAAGAATGGTTGGATCTGGGTTCTGAAGTGGAGAATCGCACGTATGTGTGGAACAAGCAGGACTTGTTTGCCATTGACCCAGCGAAAACCGATCGACTCTTGGGCCTTTTCGAGCCTAGTCACTGTGCATACAATCTGGATCGGGTCCACAAGAACATGGAAAAGGAACCAACGCTCGCAGAGATGGTCGATCGTGCTACGGATGTTCTGAGTACGAACGAAAAGGGATTCTTCCTGTTCGTGGAAGGTGGTCGAATCGACCATGGTCATCACGATAACTGGGGAAAGATGGCAATCGACGAGACGGTAGAGTTCTCGAAAGCGGTCGAACTTGCCCGGAAGAAGTTCAGTGAAGAAGACACCCTCATCGTAGTAACGTCGGATCACTCTCACTCGGTGAGCTTCTCTGGTTACCCGGTAAGGTTTGGAGTTTTATTTCTTTACGACTAGTCAAACTAACAGACCAATATTTTCAGACCCGAGCAAACGACATCTTCGGCACCGCTGGAACGGCATCCGACAGGTTGCCGTACATGACGATTAGCTACGCCAACGGGTTGGGTTTCTACGACCACATTGATGCGGAAAACCACGGTCGTAAGGACGTCCGTACGATGGACACATCCTCCGACTACTTCCGCTTCCCAACGACACTGCCCGTCTTTTCGGAAACTCACGCAGGAGAGGATGTAGCCGTGTACGCATCAGGACCTTGGTCCCATCTGTTCACCGGCACCTACGAACAGAACACCATCCCGCACATGATGGCATACGCTTCGTGCGTCGGCGATGGTCTGAAAGCTTGTGCGTCGTGACATCTTGGGTCGTAAATTTAAGTGTTTGTATTAAATCTCCTGATTAGAATAAATGGCTGTAAGAGTATAACTCCAATAACTGATAAGCTTTTGTCCAGACGATTGATCCGAAAAATCCTTCACCACAGCAAACTCAAGAGTTCAACAGATTAACAGTGGCGACGAACGTGCGACTTGTGCGGATGATTGATTGGCGACGGTGTACAATAATATATCATGTATGGGATTAGTGGAACACGTAAACAAACATGATAGGTTAATTGTGGTTTGAAAATTATGAGGAGCAATAAATTATCCATCGAAAGAGTAGAGATACGGAATGACGCCGTTGGCGGCGACGGTGATGCGATAAGAGCTATTTGGCATCTACTTGCATTACATTGATTATGACGGTTTCGATCGGGGGATGTCCATACGGTTGTCATTGAGTGACTACTGAGTGAGATAATGATTATACGGTGATGGTCTGAAGCTGGCTAGACATGTGCAAGATAATGGGCATCCTATTGTAATCTACCAAGGAAATCCCCACAGTACAATGTGTGGTCGTGATAGTTCTAAAGATACATGGCATGTACCTACGTCATTAGTCAAATTTTTCCAATTGTTCGGTCACCAACGTGACTGAATATTCTTCATGCTTTGTTTGACACCAAACTTCGTCCATCGTCCATCGTGAATTGTGATTTCAGTATGCCGTCTGGCATCAAATCAAAATATCAAAATGATCTCCATTTCATTGAAACGATTTAGCATTCGATTCGAAGCCAAATCAGATCCTAAATACCTTACTTGGAATTGCTGTTCAGCTATGATACTGTCATCGAAACATCTGAAGATAACAATCATTTCATTACGAGAAATTCTAGCAAGACGCAAAATTGAATTAAACAATTCACCCCCTGCTCAGAAATTCAAATCAATTCCATCAATTTGCATAGCATTGCAAATGCAGAAGAAAGAGTAAACCAAGACGACTTGAAAACAATTTAGCCTGCTTCAAATGGCAAACCTGAAAGTACAAACACCCACTTGCAGAATGTTGCAATTACAGTAGTCTCATCTCTCTAGAACTCCTCCACAGGTTGCACTTGTGGTGGTGGAAGTGGCGGCTGGAGAATAGCCCTGCAGAAGGTCACTGTTTAACGAAGCACCATCGCATACATACACACCCACACTCCACATCAGGATTAGATGAATGAACAGGCTCATTCTCCTGTCGCCAGTGATGCCACATATACAGATTTATCTGTAATCATAGAAATGTTTCTTTATATTTTGATCTGTATATGCAGACAACAGATTTTTAGAACAGTATTCTGATTTTACAGGTTTTTCAAATAAGTTCTGAGTTCGGCTGCAATTCACCTCCCACTGGCCGGCAGTGGTTTTATGGAATAAGTTATAGATACTATAGGTTCCATACATTAGCGGAGGCAAAGTTGAATGTAGCCAAACGAACTGTCAGTTAGGGTAGCCAAACGAGAATGACGTCATCATGATGTTTTTTTTTTTTTAGGGGGAAGTATTGTAATATGATCTCAAATCGCTTTCCACACTGCAGATTCCGATTTCTTTCGCGGAAAACGTAAGAAGGAAATATTACGCAAACCACTCCTCGATACATTGCTGCAAAGATTTGCATTGCACTTCATTTTGAACTTTTATCACGAAACAAAACAAAACAGAACTGCATAACGAAGAGCTCTATGATGGTATGAACATTTTTCACGCATGCCAGTAAGATGATTAATTTTTGTGGTTGCCAAAAAAAGGCTTTTTGTTCCTCCGCCTATTTTTGAAATCTATGGTAACTAAACAATAAACCAGACTGCACCTATTTATTGGGGGAGGTAGCTCATCGATTCTTCCGGTTCACCTCCTAGCATCGTGCTATAAGGTACCAGGCGATAACCAGGGTAGTTGATCGATAGCTCGATGACGTCATTTCGTTGGCGTCTGCAATGGGAAATTCTCATAGCAGGCGTTGACGATGGGATGTTGTCGCGTTGTTGAATACCAACTATCGTGGTAACTCACCGATTACCTGTCGATCTGCCAAATTTGGAAAGACGTCTGCATTGAATTGTCTCATATAATAATATTCCGCCCACTATATCACAAGAAATTGCGAGTAGCTGAGTGGAATGGAGATAACTTAAGCATTGGGTACAGGACCAAGTCTCCCCTGGGTGGTGCCAAAAGATGAGCGCAATAGAATCATCAAGTCGCCATAAGGCACGGAATGACACTATTGCATGGCTGGGTAGTCAAAGTCTTCCATTCGTTAGTCATTTCAGGTGGATTAGAACAGGTTTAGGTTTAGGGTGGGCGTTGGCCAGATTTGGATTCCGAAATAGGACCTAGATTATTTAATACACTAGTAACCTCAACTTCTGTCACAATGTTTCATTGTGACTAATCAACACTCAATGGGTAAAATATCAAATTTGCTGTAAATTTGAAAAAAGGGAACTTGGAGTGTAGAGCGCACTGTCCACTGGACGATTCTGAAGCCTGACCAAGTGAGTGGGCTACGGGTTTATTTGATTGTACGTCATTTCCAATTTATGTATAGATACATTCATACCATTGGCATTTTGTATTTGAGATAAGACAGAGACAGGATGTGGAGGGCCCGCTTAGGGGGAGCGTAACCCATGTAATGGCTTGGCGATGATTTTTCATGTTTCATTTTGCATTTGCATATAATTGTAAGTTTAGGTTTGCTTTTGTAATTGTAAGATAGATAGTTTGCCTCAATTGAAACATTGAGTTGTATAAACTTGACGAATCATACCTCTAAAATAGTAGTAGTTACAGTGCCGCATTATCTAACAACCACTGCCTGCAACTAATGTTGGAGGGGTCGGCAGGGCTGATTACGGATCAAAACTAACATAACTCTAACACTGAAATGATCCCGAAACTAACGCTCATTCAGTTCACTTTGAGTCATAAAGTAGTTTTATTTATTTTCCTACTAATCTATCTACACACTTAGTTTTTTCTACCGAGCTCGGCTGTTCGGGTCTCGGTGGGGAGGGTTTCGCTGAGATCTCGGCGGGAGTGACATTTGATTGAGGTCTCGGATAATGCCTTTTCTAATAATCTGCCTACGTTTGTTTTCTTTGTTATCTACTTTATCCCCTTTTTATTTTTCTGCTCTTCTTTCCTCTTCTCTTCTTTAGTTTTGTTTGTTTACATATAACTAATACTAATACCTCCTTGTTTTCTCTCTAATTTGTCTACTATGTCCCACCATCACGATGAGAGATGAGCTACCGTACATGGTACACGCCCAACTAACAATTTTAGCTGCAGATTAGCTTATACAGCCAAAAATTGGCTTATACAGCTAATTTTTGCCTGTATAAGCTAGTCTGCAACTAAAATTGTTTGTTGGGCGCTCATATACTCTCCCAAAATAGTATGCTGCAAGTAAGTATATCACAGAGGCAACTAAAGATCCAGAAACAAAAACCGATAACGCTGAAGATAATGAACTGTGGTGATTTATATGACTATATAGTATAATGTATTTATACTAACCTAAACACAACGTGGGGTGACCCAAATCCAAACGATCACTAACCAAAATAATAGACTTATCTTTTTTTTTCAGCAGGTGTAATTTCGTATTGTTCTGCTTCTCTCTTTTCAGCAAAACAACAACAATAAAAAAAACCTCTATAACTCTTCTCCATTCTTTTAATCTCCTACTATCCCCTATAAATGTATCAGAAACTAGTGGGACTGTCTGTGCAAACAGAAACAGGCCTGCTAGTGGAAGAAGGTCGTTATGCTATACGGTCTAGCATAGGCCTACGGCCAGGTTTCAGTAGGTACACACTCGCTTAACGGCAGATTGGTTTACAGTGGTCGACCAGGGTGTGTGCTGATAAATTACAAAATTACAATTACATCATTATTTCATACATCAGCTTGAATTACGTTGATCGATATTACCTTTTTTTTTGCTGTGCACTACACCACCGGAGCCACCCAAGTTCAACAATCCATCGTTGCTTATGCCTTTGTTGTCGTTTGGAACCAGTTTTGCGAGGTAGGTGACGATTGTGCGTATTTCTCGCGTAACTTTTGAAAAGGGCCTATTTATAGCCTGAACAATACGTAAAGAGCAAATTGAAACATTGAACGTCGCGTGAAAATGGAACTTAATGAAGGCCTAAGTACTTTTTCGTAGTTTTTAGTTTTCGGATTTGAATGATCTTCGGTTACAGTGGCCTGCTTACTGAGAAGAAAATCGCGGTCCCAGGTCCTTACATATCAAAGAGATTTATGGTAAAATCGCTTGTGTATCGTATATTTTGCGAAACTCGTTGTTGTAGTTGGTTCCGGGTTTGAATGGATACAAAAATTTGAGCAACGGTATTATGTGATAGGAGGGGCTCGGTGGCCTTAGAGTAACCGTTTTTGCTTACTGAGCAGAACATCATGAGTCTAATCTCAGGCCCATCCACATTCAAGATTCGTCAATCGTTTTATTTGTTAATATGACTACATGGTAATAACAGCAACTCGGTGATTAAAAAGGTGCTCGTCTGCCTAGTGGCAAACGTTTTTGCTTACTGAGCAGAAGACCGTGGGTTTAGTCCCAAGCTCCTTCGCGTTATATGATCGTTAGGACATCAATTCAGCTTATCGTTTACCAAAACGAATCCTGCTGCAAACCCAACCCTCTTATCCAACATCCCAGTGATTCCTCGTGGAAGTGCAGAGGTGTTCTCGGCTTCCATCGAAGCGAGTGTCATGTCAACACAATCCTTCCCATTCCTTTCTTGACCTGTGTTCGGGTGCGGCCGGCGCTGATATTGCCTAATTTAAGATCACCAGTTTTTACACATTGAGGATGATTGCTAGTCCCAAGCATCGTCTATTGGTTCTCTGTGTAATTACAGCTGATCTGGCAATAACAGAGTAGCAACCGTGGGCGGTCAGTCAAGCTCAAGCTCAATAAACCTGACTGCACCTATTTAGATGCAGCCAGTTTGGCCTTGTAGATAGAAGGGAATAGCTCTACTGTAAATCCAATGACCCATTTTAAGACTGCACCGAACACGCG